AAAACAGTGGAATTCTTTATTAATTTGTTTGATGTATAACTCTCCTTTTCCTTCTATTGTAACTGTGATAGAAGAAAGTGAGAAAGAGAGAGATTCATCACAGTGCTGTGTTTCTCTAGCTCAGGGGTGTCAAACTCACGTTGTCACAGCGGCATCATGTGACATATTGGGACTTTTTTCCATTTCGTTAAACCGGGCGTGGCCAGCACATGATCTATATAGCCCGCGGGCTGGGAGTTTGACAGTCCTGCTCTAGCTTCTTCCAATTGATCATTAGCTTCACCCTACAGCTATAAGCAGCATTTTCATGTACAGCAGGGGTGTCAAACTCAAGGCTCATGGGCTGCATTCGGCCCATGGGATGCTTAGATCTGGCCCGTGGGGCCACCCTGGAAACAGCAAAGGACCGGCCCACGGTGCCTCTGCCAGCGAAAAGGGGTTCCCAATCTCCGTTTTTGGCTGGGACGGCCCCCTGCAACCCTCTGCCAGTGAAAACGGAGCTCGGGAGGTGAGCTTCGTTTCTGCTGGCAGAGGGTTGCAGGAGGTTGTCCCAGACAAAAGTGGAGATTAGGAGCCTCTTTTCGCTGGCAGAGCACTCGGGCCACCCCTAAAATGAGTGACGTCAAATTGGCCACGTCCCTGGGTCCCGCCCGAGATAAAAAAGAACCCTGATGCGGCCCTCAATGAGTTTGACACCCCTGATGTACAGCATCTCGTGACCAACTTCACTTTCTCTTCTCTAGGAAACAACCAGGTAGTCAATAGGGAAGTACTAAACATGGCAGCTAGCTAAGCTTTGCCCTTCTTGGTTTTTCTTTTGCTGCAAATTATTTTCATGTCAAAAGAAAGCAAATAATGGATCCCTGGAAATCCACAGGAGAGCAGTAAAGCCACACCTCATGGCAGCTGTGAAGGACAGGAAGGTGGTAATAACTATGTGCTGCACAACTAAAAAAAATGCTGAAAACTTGTCCTTTGCAGCTTTTTCTCTGGAGCAATAGTTAATTAGCTATACTTACCAAGTCCCACAAAATCACATATGGGAGGTGCTATATGTTTTATCTCAAAAAATTTTACCGAAAGAGAAGAAAAGGGAATGCCATGACTGGAAACAGCCAAAGCAATTGACTGAATTTTTCAAGACAGGTAGGGAACATATTTTATTATGGCATTACATTCTCAAGAAATATCATTAATATGGAGGTACATGATCCAAGCAGAAGGATCCCTATCCCAAAATTGTATATGAGGGCTTGTTGTAGCAGTAAGTTGTGATGAAAGACTCCACATGAAGCTTGGTGCAGCTCATATTTAACAAGACAGTATCTCTTATTTATAAGTGCAATCTGAGTCAAGCCTACACACACACACATTTTCTCTCTCCATACTAATAAGGATTGTCTTGCATTAATTAGAATACCAGGAAGGGAGCTATTGTTCTTTCACTTCTGATTGCACTTGTGATTTATGCAGTTGTGTGTTTTTCAAACAGCTATCATGTTGCTCATCAGGAATGAAAATATTTTAGAAATATAGGTGTCTACGTGCCAATCTGCCTGGGTTTACTACTTAGCTCTGTGAGACATTTTTGTGTGGCTGTGGGGAGATATACACTGACATTTTACATTTGAAATGCAAGAAAGAAATGTGAAAAGCACAACATCTTTATTTTATAAATCCTATTGGTACTTCCAAGTTTTCTGAGTGATTAAGAAAAGGATAAAGCTTTCTACAGAGAATTCCTAAATGCATTTCCACAACCTGTGTTTGGAAAAATCAAAGACAATTAAATAACACTTTAGTTTCTCTTTTATGTTCCAAGAAGTGTATCAACTGGAAACTTATTGATTGGCATACATACGCCATCTCATCCAACTTGACTCACTCAGATTTCTCTAAGGTTTTTTACTTAACCATTTTCTGTCTACACAAGAAACTTCAAAATGAGCAGAGTCAGGAGTATTCTTGACTACTTGCTTACTCTTTCCATGCTTTTTATATGTGTACTGAAGATGATATAATACTGACTCCTCCCTGGTTTAGATATCTAGGAATAGGAATTATTTTATACTCTATAAGCCTTTCTCGATATGGTTTCCCCTAAGCAATGTTCCCTCCTTTCCTCAGTATGTGTCATAGCCACATCATCAGCAAATGCTCTGCAAAGGGACTGTTTACTAGAGCCAAACAGCCCATGGAAAATCTGTTATCTGTGCTCTGCTTCCTGAGGTGTTACCAATAACAAACAACGTGACATTGCTACTTATCGGCAATGAAGGATAGATAGGCAAACGACAAAGTAATATAATTCCAAGACAATGCTCTGCCAGACTAATTAGCTTTCCTCACCAATCCTGATCTGCTAGCTTCTTTGTTATTTACATCATATGAATGGAGGAAGTAGATTTATGTCCAGTGAACTCTTGTTATTGGCCTTGCAAATCCCTTCCTTTCATTTACACTAGGGCAGCATGGCCTTGCTTTGTGGAGGGAGACTTGGTTTGTAGCAAGCTATGTTTTTAGGAAAATGTTTTGCAAACAGAGCTTACAGTGGATCTCCTACAAAATAAACCCGTATATAATTGATGCAGTATTGGTGGTGCAATAAGATTTCTTTTCTACTATCCTCATGTATTAAGACTGCTTTGGGATTCATCACAATTGACTCATCATGGGTGTTCCTTCATCATCTCTTAAGTAACGTCTGTGGTAGTTTAATGGCTAAAATACTTGACTTGGACCAGTATTCCCTACAATGAAGGGAAATAATCATGTCATGGTATTTTTCTACTGTCTTGAACACGGAAATTCAAGGCTGTAAGAGTACATAAGGTCCCATAGCAGAAGTGAAGCAGAATAACAAATTAGTTTGGTATCCATTCTATCTTACTCTGGCTGACTTGAGTTGCTCCTATTTCCTTTATTTTCATTTAAAAAAATGACATGATGCAAGACTTTTATATATATCCTAGGTTATGCCTTTACCATAATATATCTTACTTTCTGGTCCAGACTATAAAATGCCAAGTCTTTCATGGTGCTAAGGTGAATATTCAAAGAGCCCCTGTTAACAGAAACATGCTTCTTGCCCCAATCAAAATATTTATTTAAATGTCAGCAGCCAAAGAAAGATAGGTATCTTCTTTAGCAAGCAGTCCTGATATATCATGTCATTTATAATGTGCTTCAAAGAAAGCAGCATCACATATGGATGATTAATATTCATTTAATAAAAATACATTTTGTTTCATAAAGGTTGACCGAAATCCGAGTTAACCAAAATATTTATATTTAATTGGATGAAAACAATGATCACAGAACACTGTCAGAAGTCAGCATTGTTCATTCACTTCTAGTAACAATAGGCACATATATATGCATAAAGGTTCTCTTGCTGTTATTGCTATGTATCAGATTTAAACTTAAAAGCAAAGGCATTTTTCATAGCAATTAGAAACACAGGGTGCCACTCTATTGCCAGCTGCAAAAAATGAAAAGGAAGAAATGTACTCCTGGGACTTTTACAAAGCTATGAAAAAGCATTTCTCCTGAAATAGAGGGTGAGATGAAATGGAACAGAGAATGCAACCAGTACTTTACTCTTACAGTAATGGATTTTAGAATATATAGACACCATGGAACAGGAGAATATAAAATTATATGAACAGGAGAAGAGCAGGCAATGCTGGAGGTGGAGTTAAGTGCATCATCAACTTAGAGTCTTTGCGTTCCCACAAGCGCTGCAAGTCTGATCCCTCCTGAATTCCACTGACCATTATCTGGCACCAATTTAGTGCTGAACTGTAGTTGACCAAGGTCTTAGATATAGACCTGAATGCTCTAACCTTACAAAGGGTCCTGGTTCTCTGTGGCTGATATGTACGGCTTCAGGCAATTTAGAATTAGGGGTGGGATTCTACTGGTTCTGTCCGGCTCTGTAGAACCAGTAGCTCTGAAGAGCAGCAGACATAGAACCGGTTCTATGTCTGCTTATGTTTTGGCCCACCTACCCGCCTGGGCTCTTACCTGACCTTTATTTCCTGCTGTTTCAACCTCAGCTGCTGTGCGAGGCACAGCTGCGGTTGAAAAAGCAGGGAAAAAGTGCTTTTTCAAACGCTGCTTCTCTGCATGCAGAGCTGCTCAGCTGTCCAGGCAGCAAGCTGATGACGATTTACAGGCATGCGCAGCATGCAAAGAAGCACATCGTAAATCACCAAACCAGTAGTTAACCCTGTTGGATCCCACCCCTGTTTAGAATGGTGTATTATTGGTGTACTACCATAATATTCAGGCAGCATGAGGATTGATAAAATGAGATTGGGGTGCCTATTATGTTCAGAAAAAAACCACAGAAAACTTCAGTTATGGTATCAATGGAGCTACTAGAGCAGGGGTGTCAAACTCAAAGCCCGTGGGGTGTTTAGATCTGGCCCATGGGACTACTCTGGAAACAGCGAAGGACCAGCCTGCAGTGCATTGGCCCAGCCCACTGGGCGCTAATCAACAACTTTGTGGTGGTTGGCAGCATGCTGGAGGAGGCTGTGGCAGCCAAAAATGGAGCTTGGAGCGGGGTGGGGTGCACGTGGCTGTCTCGAGCTCCATTTTCGCCGGCAGCGTGCTAGCAAAACAAACTACTAGCAAAAGTGGCATTTGATCACAAGGCAAGGAAATGTTTCATCTTTGAGTATCCAAGAAGGGACAGGAAAAGAGAAAGGGAAAGACAAAAAGAAGGAAAGATGGGAAGAGAGCAAGGAAGGAAAAAGAAGGAAATAGAGAAAGGAAGGAAGAAAGGAAAATGAAAAGGGAAGGAAAAAGAAGAAAAGAAAAAAGAGAGGGAGGGAGGGAGATTATAATGAGAGAGAGGGAGGGTGTGAGGGAGTTCTGCCTTAGCACTTGGTCACCTGCTGCCCTTTTGCCATCCCCTTGTCTCCTCCTCCTTATCTCTCCTGGTGGTCTCCCATCCTTTCGCTCAGGATGCTTTGGTTCCAAAGCCGGATCTCCTTGCAAGGAGAGGGAGTGGGCCTCCCTCTGACCTACACACTTTGCCCTTCTGCACACACTATGAGCAACCCGGCCAAGGAGAGTGAGCGCAGCAGCAGCCTCAAGGAGGAGGTAAGCGCAGCCCGGCACCCCCTTGGGGAAGCAGGGCTGGGCTGTGGGGTCCTGGTGCCCTGGGAGGTCAATGACCAGGCTGGGTACTTGCCCTCCACTGCCTAGAGCTCTGCCTGCACCACCCTTTGGGGATCCTCTGTGTGGCCTGAGAGAGACAACGAGGTTTTTCTGGAGGACAAGGACTTGGCCTTCTCCCTGGTCTCACCTTCCTCTGCTGGAGACAATGGATCCCTCCCCTGCCCTGCCCGGGTGCCACAGGCACTCCTGACACAAGTGACATCGAGCTGGCCACGCCCACCCAGCTCCCTGAGGTCAAACACAACACTGATGTGGCCCTCAATGAAATCGAGTTTGCCACCCCTGAGCTAGAGTCACACATATAGTTGCAACTATGGCCATTGTAAATGTGGCTATATATCGCCCTGGAGAAAATTAATATGCTTGACATTAATATTAACATTAATATGCTTGACATTAAGGACCCTTCATCAAAAGACATTAGAATATGGACAGTTATATTAACAACAATAACCAAAACTGAAAGAAAAATAATAAAATACTATACTGTCAAAAGTTCCATTAGGAAGACATGAAAATAAAATAGAGCATATGAACAACTTAAAATGTTTGACCTCTAAGTGATTTTAAAGATCAGCGTCAGTTGCACAATAATAGAGAAGAATTATACAAAATAACAGAAAAGGACTGTTCTTTAGTTTTACAGCAGAATTATCTTTGAGAAGAGCCACTCCTAAAGATTTTAAAACATGGGAAAACTGGCATCCCTGCCAATATTATAGTAGTGAAATCTCCTTCTGGTGGAAGCTTTTGGGTCACTGATCTGACATATGTGATGATACAGTAAGTCAAGAAGTTAGTAGACCACAAACCATCATGACCTGACTATATCCAGAGACAAGCAAGGTGATCAGCAAAGAGATGCTGTCGAAAGGTAGCCAAACTGCTATGAATACATTTATCTTGCATTCAGATGACCCATATAATGCAGCACCTTCAGGATGTAAGCTTGGCTTACCCTTAGAGAGGTAGGAAAGGTTTCACTGAATTCAGAGGATTGGAGATGAAGGTAATTTAAGTTTAGAGCTTGCTTATTTTAATTTTTCTATTGAACTATAATGAGTGGGGGGCTTTTTAAAAAAAATGTATGGGGCTCTGTGCCCCTTCTGTCTTGGCAATACAATATGCTACACAATTGGAGAGAGAAGAGAACTTTTGCTCATTAGTTTTACCAGTCTTGTGGAAAAAACTGGAGCAGAAGAGCATTTAGAATGTCACCCTGGTTTCAAGGCATGTTAAATTCAAGCACAGACACAAAGCAAGGATTTTCTCAGAGCAAAAAAAATAAAATAAAAATGGTGCTCCATTAAGTGATTATTGAAAAATGACTCAGCGTCTGTCTGAAAGGTTTGCATGATTGACTTAAAATGATTGCATGTTCTGTGTTATTTTGAATATTAGTTTTAAAAAAAATACTGGGGAAAATTACCAGAGAGCTACTGTATGTGTGTTGGTTTACTGCAGCAAAAACAAGACAATTATATAAGGGTCCTTAAAGATTAGCAAATTATTGTTACTTAGTTTGGCAAGCCAGTTTCCACAACTAGATGGAGCAGACAACTATTTCCATCATTCTCAGTTAGCAATGCATGCTAACTCAAATTAGACAACATCTGATTAAAAACTCAGATAAAAAGCTATGGCACCTAAACAAATCTAAACAGAACTAAGTGAAACAACAAAGTTAATTTAAGTGAGGAGGAGATCAGTGGTGGGATTCAACTTTTTTTTAACAATTGTTCTGTGCGCGTGGCTTGGTGGGCGTGGCAGGGGAAGGTTATATTGCAAAATCCCCCTTCCCTCCCCACCCCACTAACCTGCTTTCCAGCTCCATTCTCCTGTGCAGGGCAAAAAAAAAAAGACCCAGCTAATCAGCTGGGGCTTGGGAGACAGAGAATAGATGAGGAGGGGCCAATCAGAGGTGGTATTTGCTGGTTCTCCGAACTACTCAAAATTTCCGCTACTGGTTCTCCAGAACTGGTCAGAACCTGCTGAATACCCACCTCTGGAGGAGATATGGAATAGACAAAAAGAGTGTTTTTTTCACAATGGTCATCATTAACCACAAGACTATTAAGAAAACTGTATGTATTCAGTCTTCATGATTTAAGTTCTGCTGAATAAACATTTCTACTTTTAATACTGATTTACATTGTTTGCCTAGTGATTTGTACATATAGATAGTCCTCAAATTATGACCACATTTGAGCTCAAAACTTACGTTGGTAAGTGAAACATTCGTTAAGTGAATTGGTCCCATTTTACGATTTTTCTTGCTACATTTGTTAAGTGAATAAATGCAATTGTTAAATTAGTAACCCGGTTGTTAAGTGAATCTGGCTTCCCCATGGATTTTACTTGTCAGAAGATCACAGAAGGGGGACCACATGATCCCGGGACACTGCAACCACCATAAATGTGAATCAGTTGTCAAGCATCCGAAAGTAAATCACATTACCATGGAGATGCATGCAATGGTCCCATGTGTGAAAAATGGTCATAAGTTACTTTTTTCAGTGCCATTGTAACTTCGAACAGTCACTAAGTTGAGGACTACCTGCATTTGTATGTATTTATTATTTTTAATATTTGCCTTCTTAGGGTAACACATATGAGGTTGGCAGTCATATAAATCCGATAAACAAACACATACATACTGCAATCAGATTTGGGGTAAAAGAGTAAATATAGATGTTAATTCTGGCTATATAGCTTCAACCTTGTAGATCACACTGGGATCATATAACGAATGATTTTCACACAGTTGAGGACTCAAGACTAAAACATATGAGGAACAGTTACAGGAACTGGGCATGGTTAGTCTAGTGAAGAAAAGGACCAGGGGAGACATGATGGCAGTCTTCCAATATTTGAGGGGCTGCCACAGAGAGGAAGGGGTCAAGCTATTTTCTAAAACACCTGTAGGCCAGACAAGGAATAATGGATGGAAACTGGACAAGGAGGGATTTAACCTGGAAATAAGGAGAACCTTTCTGACAGTGAGTACAACCAACCAATGGAACAGCTTTCCCTCGGAAGTTGTGGGAGCGCCATCACTTGAGACCTTCAAGAAGAGATTGGACTCCCATTTGTCAGAGTGGTGTAGGGTCTCCTGCTTGGGCAGAGGGTTGGATTAGATGACCTACAAGGTCCCTTCCAACTCTGATTATCCGTTATCAATTGAAATTAAATCTACAGGGTTTTGTTCATGTTACTTAAATGGTTATTCAAATCTATTGGTACTTTAGCATTTGGTAGTTTTTAAAACATTTTTACACATTAAATCATTATGCAAGAATACATACCCTGTAAAAATAGGTATTTTTAATGAATATCTAAAGCAACATTTTAGTTATCTATCATGGCAGGGTTCCCAATGTCTCATATCCTTACTTAGCACTGGAATTATTCTCTGAGAAAGCATGATGTTAAAAGGGAATTTTATAAATTCATGCCTTTGGACTTGCAGATACTGTATACTTCACTCTCCATTCCAATTGACAATAGTTTTCAGTTGCACATGACATGATTCAGACAGACAGCCTGGTATGAGTTTCATTGCAGATTTGACTTACTACTGATTGCTGACTTCTGCTTCTGAGAAATTATGTAAATTAAAAAGTAGTGAGGGTAGCAGGGTGCTTGCCGTTGTTGGAGAAGATAAGAGACAAATATAGAAGCTTTTACACTCTGTATTTTTAGGTATAGAACTAATATTTTTATATGTCAATGTTGAAGTCCACAAGACTTAAAGTGGCCAAGATTGGAGACCCCTGCTCCAGACCATTCAGCAATGTCATCCAGGTTCTAAGGATTATTTATTTATTTATTTTATTGGATTTGTCAATTGCTTACAAGATAACAGGTATAAGTATAAACATAGTTATGAATACATGAAATGGATACATATAAGAAAAATTTAAAAAAAAGAAACAACAGGACAGGGACGGTAGGCACAATTGGTGCGCTTATGCACGCCCCCTACAGGCCTCTTAGGAAAGGGGTGAGGTCAATAGTAGACAGTCTAAGGTTAAAGTTTTTGGGGTTTGGGGAAGCAACAACAGAGTTTCTAAACAATATGGAGGGAATGACATTGCCTGCCCATAAATTGGATATGATCCAGATCTCCACAAAAAGTGAATTCTGGATGTTTTAAGTAACTTTCACCACCATATACCTCTATAGCAGGGGTGGAATTCAAATTTTTAACAACCGGTTCTGTGGGCATGGCTTAGGTGATGGGCGTGGCTTGGTGGTCATGTGACTGGGTGGACATGGCTTGATGGTCATGTTATTGGCTGGGCGGTGGCCAACTCAATATCACTCACATCGAGGCGTGCATCTCTTCGCCTGGCCTCTCATGACTGTGGGGATGCTGCAACAGTTGTAAGTGTGAAAAATGGTCATAAGTCACTTTTTTCAGTGCCATTGTAACTTTGAATGGTCACTCCACACAAGCAAAGTACCAGCAAAGGAGGGGAAAAAACTCCAGAGAAGTTCCTGAGACAGGAAGTCTAGTCCTGCCAAGAATGTAATAAGGGTTAACGGAGAGGCAGTTTCTGTAAGCAACACCAGAATGTTTCCTTCCTGCCTTCCTTACAGGATTAGGCCAGTAATTTCTTCTAACAATCGGTTCTCCGAACTGCTTAGAATGTTAACAACCGGTTCTAGCGAATAGGTGCGAACTGGTAGAATCCCACCCCTGCCTTATAGGTATCGAACATGGCTGAGCTATATTTCTATCACCACAAGTGCTAACAGGAGAGTTGTTCTGAATACCAAAGATCAGCCAAGATTTTCTAGGAGAGGGTAGGAATGATTAATGTTGCAAAAGTATAGTACAGTGTGAAGTGACTACCTTTTGAAGACTGCCTGTGACTCCAAAGCTAATGTTTTCAAAGCTCAGACTGTAAAACACATTAGGTTTTTTTTTTAAGCAAATAAATGATGCCACAATTACATGCATTAATGATTAATCCTACTTGCCTTATTCTGCCAGGCAAGCCTGTTGTTTAAAGAAAAAAAAAGCAATAATGTCTTCATCAGACACATTACAAACCTCTCAATTCAAATATGATGCTTTGGCAGCACCCATTAATCCAAACTATAGACTGAGCAACTTCAAGCTACAATGATTAATGTCAGGAATCATTTATGTCCAACAGTTTCCTGAACAAGCTATACTATCATTACTGTTTCTTTTCTGTTAATTAACTGTCATGCATACGCATTATAACCTTCCATTGAACAGTACAGGAAATGAGTCCCGTAAAGGGTTGGGAACAACTTGTTTGAGATATTGTGAATATTATTAAGAGAGGCAGAAAGCTTCAAAAACTGGTGACAATTTTGGACAAATTATAGGTGTTTTTACACCTTTGAATCTTGGGGAAAATACACGGTGCATTAATACGATATCTTCCTTTCTCTAGAAAATCTGGGCTGAGTTTAAGTGCGGTGCCCAGGTGATCTGATTCAAAAGTGCAGAAATAATGAGAAAGGGCAATCAGCGATGGAATAATTGTGCAGTGTAATAGCATGTGTTTTATGCGTCAGAGGATTGGTGATCTCACCCTGCTCTAGCAACTGAATGAGGGATTTAAAAAGCTTTCAATAAATCAGCAAAAGAAGTAGGAGAATGAAGAAGCCACTAGAGCAGAGGTGGCATTCAGCAGGTTCTGACCAGTTCTGGAGAATCAGTAGCAGAAATTTTGAGTAGTTTGGAGAACCAGCAAACACCACCTCTGACTGGCCCCGCCCCCATCCATTCACTGCCTCCCAAGTCCCAGCTGATTGGCTCGGTCTTCTTTTGTTGCCCTGCACAGGAGAACAGAGCTGGAAAGCAGGTTAGTGGGGTGGGGAGGAATGGGGATTTTGCAGTATCCTTCCCCTGCCATGCCCACCAAGCCACGCCCACAGAACTGGTACTAAAAGATTTTGAATCGCAACACTGTACTAGAGGCAGAAACCAGAAACATGTTACAAGAAGTTGCAAATCTAAATGTTGAGAGAAGTGGAAGAAAGGATATTCCACTTCTCTCAAAATTTAGATTTGTAACTTCTTGATGCAGATATCTTGCATATGTTCTCTTAGAAAGTGATGACAGTGTGATCTGTTTTACGGATAGTCCTCAACTTGCAACCATTTGCTCAGCTACCATTCAAAATGACAAATGGCACTAAAAAAAGTGACTTACAACCAGTCCTTGTACTTATATTTGTTGCAGCCTCCTCATGGTCACTAGATCAATATTCAGGCACTTGGTAACCAGCATGTATTTGCAATTGGTGCAGTATTCTGGGACCATGTGATTGCTATTTGCAACCTTCCCAGCCATCTGTATAAATAATGCTTGACTGGAAGAATTCAACCACTCTGGCAAAATGAATTATTACTTTTATAATAATAATTATTAATCTTGCTCAGTTTATTTCAAGCCCAGTTCTGAGACAATTGAATGTATCCAATCCTATTCCCAAAGTTTCCTATTTATCTGACCTGCTGCATCAGAGATGATGGCAGAACCAAAAGAAGGAAGTCTCTTTTCTCTCTAGTGCCTAGCATATGTTACATCTGCAAATCACTTAAGAGCAGTAGCAGAAAATACTGTTTTCTCAGATTTACTGAGTGATGTTACCTGCTTTGAGAAAATCAGATTTCCCAAAGCTACCATTGCATGGTTTATGGGAAGATATATTAGTGGTAATGATGGGAGAGAAGAAGAAAGTAAGAAGAAAGGTCAAATCAAAGCTGGTAGAAGACTTATTTACTTGCGTGTCAGCTCAATGACCAAAATAACTCTAGGTAGCTTTCGTAATCAGGTTAAAACAATCACAAAAAGTAAAAGTAACAGGCAGCTAACAACACAGCCACATATGCAGGAGAATAATCAGCTCAAAGCAGGGGTGGGATTCTACCAGTTCACACCTATTTGCTAGAACCCGTTAACATTCTAAGCAGTTTGGAGAACCGGTTGTTAGAAGAAATTACTGGCCTAATCCTGTAAGGAAGGCAGGAAGGAAACATTCTGGGGTTGCTTACAGAAACTGCCTCTCCGTTCACCCTTGTTACATTCTTGGAAGGACTAGACTTCCTGTCTCAGGAACTTCTCTGGAGTTTTTTCCCCCTCCTTTGTTGGTACTTTGCTTGTGTGGAGTGACCATTCAAAGTTACAATGGAACTGAAAAAAGTGACATGACCATTTTTCACACTTACAACTGTTGCAGCATCCCCACAGTCATGAGAGGCCAGGCGAAGAGATGCACGCCTCGATGTGAGTGATATTGAGTTGGCCACCGCCCAGCCAATAACATGACCACCAAGCCATGCCCACCAACTAAGCCACGCCTACAGAACCAGTTGTTAAAAAAATTGAATCCCACCCCTGGCACAAAGGATTAAACCATCAGAATAAACCTACCGAAAATAGCTTGCAGTACCTTCTCCCAGGGCTTGGTGGAAAAGACAAACCTTTGGAACCTGATTAAAGCCCAATGCTATACAAACATTATAAGCATGCTGATCCACAGGACAGGCATACCTCCTGGGTTCCATGAGATGACTGGAGGGCTAACTAAAGTTAGTCCTTGACTTATGACCATATTTGGGAGCCGAATTTTCATTACTAAGCAAGGTGGTTGTTTAAAAAAGGTCATGCCTGATTTTTGTCATAAAGCCAATCACTGTTGTTGTTTAGTCACATGGTCATTAAGCTTATCTGGGCTCGCCCATTGAGTTGGAGGCTGGGAAGGCTCGCAAATGGCAATCACATGATCCTAATCACAAATACATGTCAGTTGCCAAGCACCCAAATGTTGACCATGGGATGCTGTAACATTTTAAAGTGCAACTGTAGCTCTAAACGGTCACGAAGCAAAAGGTTGTAAGTTACGGAGTATCTGTATTCCAGATTCCATAGGTCAGCAGAAACAGCAGAGGAAAAAAATGGGGCTGCGGTGCTTTGTTCATGTTTTGGTAAATTTTTGGAAGCAATGAGAATTGTATTTCTTCATCAGAAAATGTACATTTTCTCAACATCACTGTAGTAACTTAAAACAGATCTGAGGGAAAAGCAAAATCCTTCCCTCTTATACAATGAGTACCCCCACACACACCTCAAACCTAGCGGCTTTTGAGGAGTGAATAAATATCACAGCCTCTTTTCTTTCCCCATATATACAGGGCCTTTCTATATTACCTTCTTTTAAGCATTGAGCCTGAAAAACACTAAAAGGTCAACTCAAGCAAAAGCAGCTTTAAAAAAACAACCAAATAATGTAGCATCATAGACAAAGAAACATGTTGAACACTCCGAAAATGCACACTGAAATTTTCCCAACTATGCCACGTTGTTGTTTTGAAAGATGCGCTCACTTTAGAGTTGTGGCAGAAGATGATTATTCAACACTAATACAATTCTAAAAGCTTTTAGGAAAAAAGGGGAGGGATTGTGCCCATCTTACAAAATTCAATTAAGTATATCCTGCTATTATAAAAGGGAACTGATTACTCCACTGTAATAATACCACCTTTTAATATTAACAATTAAAATCTCAAGATCAAAACCTTGTTCCAGTTACTAGACAACATGGCACAAAAGCTGGCAAAAATAAATATTCTCACTGAACGTTTCCCTAACAAGGTGAAAAATCTTAATGAAGGGTTGGAATATCAGCTCCAGAAAGCCTAATATCATTTTATGCAAACTTAGAGATTTGTGTATCAGAATACTCTGTAATGCAGTTATTTATCAAAATACGGGAAACTGTATTTTGGCTTCCCAGGGATTTATGTGACTTTATTCAGGGATGGTTTTTAATGCATTTCTAGCAGCAGCAGGAGGTACTATAGCAGTGATAATGCATGATACTCTGAGAGAGTTTTTTGAGACACAGACAGAGAATGAATGTTAGTGTGGTCTGCATTACAATGTTTTATATGCAGATAGTCCTCGACTTACAATCATAATGAAGCCTGCCCTCAGTTGTAACTCATGATACGACTGACCCACAGTCAGTCAGCCAGTCGTATCTAAGTGGGTCAGTCACGTGACTGACCTGATTTTCTAATCTTTTTGAAGTGGTCATTAAGTGAACGCTGCAATTGTTAAGTAAACCCCATGGTTCATTATGGGCTGGTTTCACTGAAAACTGGAAGAAAATGTTCCTTTTCAGCAAAACCATAATAAACCATGGTCATATGATTGTGGGGCGCTGCAAATGAGGAAGAACTGGCTGCTGAGAGCCTGAGTCATGTGGCCATGAGGAGGCCCCAACTGTTGGGACTTTGAATCTGAGTCCTAAACACTTTCAAGTAGGTCTGTTGGAACTTCGAACAGTTGCTAAGAGACCAGTTGTAGGTTGAGAAGTGTGTGTGTGTGTGTGTGTGTGTGTGTGTGTGTGTGTGTGTGAATGTATTTTAGTTTTAAACTGCTTTTCAGGCAATTGCTTTCTACAACTATGCGGCAGATTAAAATAAACAGTTCCCAAAGAACCAAACAACATGCTTAACTAATTCAGGAGAGTTATTGATTATCGGCAGATTCCCAATATTTCTTTCATTTTATAAAGTGCTTCTGAAATACACAAAGATAATCTAGAAGAATAAAGCTGTAGTTAAAAAAAAACACACCATGTCTTGTAAGGATAGACTATGTTAGTTATGTAGAGAATAGATATTGCTTTGTTTTTAAACACCAGGCTCAATTAGGACTATCCTGTGCAAAAGATAAATGCAAGCTTTCCTTGCTTTAGGTGAATCTGCTACTGTATTATGTGGCTGAAATTTACATCCAAGAATTCATGTTAGCAAAAAAAAATAAAAATAAATCACTATTATGTGCCAGCATAATCAATTTGCACCAAATGCTTGGAAATATGCCAAGTCTTCTTCCTGCCAAAATTGCTTGAACATTTCCCACAAACCCTCTTTCTGTCCTCAATTGTGCATTTAACACCGTGTAGTATAATATTTTCCAACCCTGGCAACCTCCATATATGTGTAAGTCAACTCCCCAAATTCCCCAGGCAGCAGAACCATTCCTGAGATTTTTGAGAATTGAAGTTCATACATCTGGAAATTGTGGGAATCCTTGATGTAATGTGATTGTTCCAGATGTGCGTCCTGTATCCGAGTTATTTCTGTACTTGCAATAGCTACTGCTGTTTCTTGGGTCAAAATAACTACTAACAGCTCACCTATCTCTTTTCTGGAAAGGAAAAAGACATCCCCAACCCTAGAAACAATGTTGGACATATTATGGTTATGGAAAATCTTCAATCCTAGGACATACACTTTTAACATGGAGAAATCTATGATGTACAGTGTAATGAAGAATATTATTGGTAGTCCTTGCTTAATTATGATACAGTAACTAGAGCCAGAATTTTCATTGCTAAGCAATGGGATTGTAAAGCGTGATGTCACATGATTGCATTGCTTAGTGAAGACCATATTGCTGTCATTTAAGTAATGATGGTGGATTGTTAAGTGAGGACTTCATGTGAACACAACTTGCAACTTCCTG